AAGTAATAAAATTGCAAAAGCTAAACTTAACAGTCACGATACCTCAGACAATAAAATCCGTTCCAATCACCATGCTGCTCTATTCACAAGCTCATGCCCATCCCCTCACAGTGTATACGCAATACATTTCTGTTCTACTTTCTGTTTACGTTTGTGGAACGGTTAGTTTACGTTTCAGCTGACCTCAGGGTTAAACACTACAATCCCTCCCCTTTTCAAACGTAAGCCGAGCCATAACGTAAGCCAGTAACGTTTGCGCGCTTCGCGCGGTTATCCGGCTGCAGACTGTCTAGTGGAAATTCTCAGTGTAAACAAACATCAATCAACGGGCTTAGCCAATCAACGTCAGGGGTACTAAGATGGCTACGATAATTTGAATCGGACGTCACGATTCCAGCTAGACTGGTACGGACCTTAACTCGGCCAAGTATCTTTCGCTACACTAAAGTTATAGTTAGTGCAGCGTGTGGAACTCTCCACCGCGGAGCAGTCTAAGCTGAATCGCCGATCCTTGTGTGGAAAAATACCTTGAAAATTCCTCGAAGAGGGCCTCGTCGCGCCATCTAGGGGAAGCCATATGTACGAGAATAAATTCAGGGCGTGAAACGCAAGAAATGCAAACTCGCTTTTCTAGAAGAAAAAGAAACGCGCCGACCAGCAAACGAGCAATTACCAGCATTTGTATTTATTCTCGACCTACGTGCATAGTCGAAAGGCTTGTGGAATCGCCAGAACCCCTCAATTGACCGATTATACGGCTTTATCCTGTACCCAAAGTGCACTGGCGAAATTTTTCTATATAGAGCAATGAATAGCAGAAGGGGGGGATCTAACCGTAACCCAAACTTGCAAGAACGGGAAGGGGGGGGTCTGGGGGGCCCTCCCCCAGAAAATTTTAGAAATTAGACCCCCTTAGATGCGTTTTCTGCGCGAGCAAGGGGGGGGGGGTGTCTGGACCCACTGGACCCTGCCCCCTGTACACGCCCCTGGTACCGTACCGTACGTTAGAATGCATATATATGCTAACTTTTTTTTCTGTTTATTTGATCAACTTTGTCTCTCTGTGTCTACGATACGGTCTTTTGGACTTTGAAGACTATAATTATTAGGAGGGGATTAGGTTAATTATGAGTGTTTTCTGGTGGTATTTCTATTTAACGCAACCGACTCACTAAATTAATATCAACTATGCCTGAAGTGTGTAGTGAAACAGGGGCGTAAATCCGTACCGAGGGTGGGGGGGATGATCGGCGATAGCCGGGGGCGAAATTAACTTTGGCTGCCGCAGGCAAGTCCGCGTGCCGTAGGCATGCCAATGCTAGGGGGTCTGGGGGCATGTTTTGAAATATTTAAGCCATTTTCCTGCAATCTGAGGCATACTGTGGGCCATATTCTCATCTCTGATGACACTATCTCAACCCTAGACTCAACCCTACAAGTTAGGATTCAAAACACTTTTCATGACTTTTCAGAGAGCGTACACAGTTAGGTTACTATATAGTAATAATACATGTATTAAAACACAGGTAAGAATTGCAATTTCTCACAATTTCACGTGTTTTTGTATGTTTGCAACCATACGTTTTGGCTATTCTTTTTTTTCTCTTTTTTTTTGAATCTCAGGGGGGGGATATTTGTACAGGCCATCCCCCTCCTTCAAGAGCGGGGGGGATGCATCCCCCCCCCGGGATTTACGCCCCTGTATTGAAATAACATGTTTTGCCAGTACTTGGTAATTGGAAGGGTTTTTACTTTCAGGTAAACAAGCACTGGTTGGAGCAACTGATGGCAACTGGACGAACTACTGATATGGCAGTCACCCCTGAGCTGTCAGACTGTTTAGTTTTCTTGCACTCCTCTCAAACTCCTGTACATCCCTGGTGCCGAATAACTGTTAGATGTATTCCAATAACAACTGGATTCATTGAGATGTAAGTAGTTAATATAGAATATTTATTGAGGTAAAACTATATTTGATAAATCATAAATAATTAGTTAGATTGTTATGAAATGCAGGAAAATTAATGTTGACTGTAATCTCCTCTATTCTGACAGACCCATGATTGACAGTGAACATGGCGTTGATATACAAGACAATCTGTATTCTTCTGCAATGACTTATGTTGATCGCATTAACTGCAGAAACCTGTTAATGTCAGCCATGAATAAATTTAATCAGGATGGGAACCCTGAAAACAAAGAATACAAGGTGCTTGTAATAACATTTTTATGCACTTACAGTGTAGTTTTTTTTATATGCATTGTAGTGTTTTAGTTAAAAATTACATTTTATAATGTGGAAGACATTATTGCTTAAATGTGTTTGTTGTACAATTAAGTGCTGAAACGTATGATAATTACAGATGTTTTGTGTGTGTTCATGTGCACGATATGTATGTCACATACAGGGACATGAGGACTATATCACAGAGACTCTACGGTCGCTTTATGATGTCACTCCTATCGAAGGGGATAAGCAATCAGACTTCCAGGCTCTACAACCAGGCAATGTTCTTCATCCCAACTTATTGCCGCCATTGATTATTCTGAGAAGCAGAGATTGCTTGTGTTTGGTATACCCTTACGTAAGACTTACACTGGAGAATGCTGTACTGTTCTCGCCAGGCCTGTTTACATCGTCCAATGCCAAGCCGCTCTTCGTGTCCTACCAGCTGCTGCGCCTATTACAAGCTTGTCACCTGCGACGCATTACTGTTGGGAATCTCACTCTCACTGACATCGCGATCACCGATGTCTACTGGATTCACACAAACGAGGCAAATGTCTTCAGTATACCAATGTTACAGCGGCCTCCAAATGGATCTTGTGTGCCAGGTATTAAACAAACGATTCAATTCACGTCAAGATAAGCAGTATGCATGATAATGATGGTTTAGGTGCTTGGTGGTCTAGTTTAAATTGACTACGTCACGAATTTGTTATGGTGTATATCTGTAAAATCTTTGTTGCAATTTCTTTACATTACAAGTAAGTACTAATGGGACTAAATGTATCCTCAAATTCTTACCTGCTAAGATTGTTTCTCAACTAGTTGACCACGACATTAAAGGCATAATAAGCCCATTGCTTATGCAATGTTGACGAATGATTGAGTAAGTGGCACCTTGTGTAGTTAATAAGTACATAACCTTACATCCAAACGCGTATTAGTTTTTCCAATATCACTGCTGGTTACTAAGAAATGTCTAATTGAAATCCGCAGTCCAAAAATCAGTTGTTTACAGTTTCAAACCGCTGCCGGCGAAGCGGGTGTGATACAGATTTATAGTGCACCTGACATTTGCGCGCGCATGCTCAGCCGTACGCAATGCTATCATAAGTGATTTTGTAAACATATGGACGCTCGTGATAAGGAACTTTTTGCAGGGCTGTCCACGTGCGTCCGTGATTAGTACGTGTGTTTTACTCCATTTCCATGTTTAGTCCATGGCCGTTACACTGCTGACACCTCCATTTCATCTGGCATCCAAAACATACGGCCCACACAAATGTTTACGTCATCGCTTGACTCCTGGATGACATTTACGGCACGTAAATGATACGTTGATACATATCAACAACCGATTTCAAGTCTTGCTTATAATGTAACCAGCAGTGATATTGGACAAACTAATACGTGTTTGGCTATATACTTATTTAATTATTATATAATAAGGTTATGTCCTTATTTTAACTACACAAGGTACCAGTTACTCTAGCCTTCGTCAACATTGCATAATCAATGGGCTTATTATGCCTTTAAATGCTTGCTATGGGCTATGTATGAGTCACGAGTGTTTGTTCACATCGAATGGAATAACAAACTAGAAACGAGCAGTTGTCGCCAACTACATGTATCCCCCGTGATCCAGAGAGACCGGGTACAAGATGGCGTTGCGCAAAAGATGCGTTGTTCCCCGACCGCCGAGAGCGGTTAAGCCGCGCACTTCCGCGGGACTGGGCGCACGCGACCGCGGTGTGTCTCGCGACCTCGGTGTGTCGCAGCATCTCGCGCTGCCCGCTCTACGAATTCGCGCGCCGAAGGAGGGCGGGCGCGCGAATCCGTATAGCGGGAAGCGTAACACCGCGCAGTTTTCTTCACACACCGGCTCGGCTATGGCGGCCTTCGGTGGGGGCATTTGCTGCTGCTGCTGCTGCAGAGCCGCGCTGCGCGGCAGGGGCGAGTTTTTGTTGCTGTTGCTGCTTTGCGAGTATCTACTTAGCTACGTGTAAAAACTGGCACGGCCACGCCACCCCGTGCTCGCAGTATTCGCCCGCCACGCCAGCGCAGGTGCTCGCACGACGTGCCGTCGCCACGGGCAGCGCGGGGTCAATAGGTTGGTTGGTAAAACCTCGCACGTACGCAGTCAGGCGCCGGCACGGCGGGAGCGCGTTTGAAGATAGCATCTAGGCCGCGCCACCCCAGTGGACGCGCCGTATCGACAAACTTCGTAAACAACTCTTGTTGATAGACATACAACGTATACTCGGCCTAGCCCCCTATCGCGTAGCGCCAACGATGCGAGCGCGTCACGCGCATGACAGCATTCTTGCATTTCTGTAGGAATCACTACGCTTAGCCTATGAGGTGCGCCATGCACCCCAAAAAAAAGTTTAGGGGCCAGTGGAGATCGCCTCCTGCGCTCCATCGTAAAATGTCGGTGAGTGCGCCAGTTCGCAGTACGTGCGTTTTCAGAACCCGTTTCTCAGATATCTGTCTAATGACAAAAGGGGCGGGATTCGCCTTGCCGGCGCGTCTTCGCCCGCGAGCTCTGTCGCGCCGCAAAAACCGGGCCAAGTCCGTCTAGTATGAATGGAAATATCTCTGCGAAGTCGACTAGAAGCAGGTAAAGTTAAGATAACTCACAAAGACAAAGTTTTTCTTAGCACAACGCGTGCCCAGATGTGCAATATATGCGAATCTGGTACCCTAGGAGCCGAATGAGGAAAGTTACAAGTCGACGGGAAGGTTAAACTAAGGCAAGGGCAGTGGTGTTTTTGTAGGCGACAGACCTTCTCCCCAAAGGTAAGGCATACCACAATATTGGTCCGCTAGGTCAATTATGGCCTGAGTAGCGAGACGGAAGAGGAAATATGATCAAATCAATAAAGTGAAATTAAGGCGCATTACCTGGTGAGGGCAGTTTACCCGACCGGATCATCTTCAAATTTTTGGCATGAAGTCAGTTATAGTAAGCGAAGACGCCCAATCCTGTTAGCGGCGGATTCATCGTCCATGTTAACAACATTTTTAGCCCCTCATCTGACGAAGTCAGATGCAGCTGTAGAATCGCACGATCGTCCGTCCGTCCGTCCGGTCCGGGCGTCGGCTCGTCCGTCCGTGCTCAACAGTTGCACAAATCTAACCGCTCGACTCACGGTCTATAGCGAACTTCGCGCCGACTCGGGGGGGATCCCAAAACGATTGGGATGTCGAAGCTGGGGGCAAAGTCAAAGGTCAAAGTGTAAAAGAGGGAAAACATCCCTCCTTAACTTAGTATAGCAGAAATGCAGAATTGCGGCACACAATCTAAACTCTATTTTTATTTTTTTTATTATAATTTTAATTACAAACATGAATTCGATGACAATCGGGTATAAAATGCAGAAGTACAGTTCTAGATATTGCGCACAAAAAAAATGTCAGTTACCATCTGAACGATGACTCTGCCCACACCAATAAAACCGATAGTTCTCTTCGCTTACGACTAACGCACCTTCATGCGAAATTTGAAGAGTCCCAGAAAGAAACTGCACGCTAGAGCGTTCATCAAAAAAATCTCGGGCCCCGCCCTTATGATCCACCATAACCAGACCTAGCCAGGCGCGACCATGCCAAACCCATTAGTATCCCCACGAACTTCTTCGGGGGATACAATAGGAATATAATGCAGCATTTAACCATAAAAGGTAAACAGAAATCACTTACATTGCTGGAAAAAAAATGCTTTCTTAAAAACTTAATAAGTCAGATGCAGCTGTACAATGCGCTATGAGCCGGCATCAGTGGTCCGGCGTGCGTCCGTGCTTCCAGTCGTCAACATTGGGCACAAATTTAACCGCTCACTTATTCACGGCTCACAATATTCGGACGTGGGGGATCCTCCAAACGAGTAGGAGTCGAACGCGGTGCGTCAAAGGACAAGAAGGGTAAAAAGAAGGGACATCCCTCCTAACTTAATCTTGAGGATGCAGGTTTTTGCTCAGAAAACTAATATAAGCGAGATAGTCTCACCTGAAGTGGAAATATCACTTATTATCTACAACATTCAAAACACCAAGTTTTAATAGTTATAGCATAGAACAAATATGATTTGACCATCATACAGCATAATAATTTTATCGTCACACTCATCAAAATCACAAATGGCCCGTCTCAAACAAGCGAAACCATAATTAAAACAAAAGGGCGGTGCCCATTCTGTTTGAAATATTATTGAGTTTTTATCCAATAATTGCAGACACTTTCGCATGTCATTCCCGGTTACTATTGAACTGGCAATCCACAAGCGTCTCTTAATAAACAGACTTACTGGCATTAGACTCACTGCTGGTACCTAGTATGAACCGTCTGTGTTACACTCGACCCGATTCTACGGGCTAAGCATTGCATGCACCGCTGATAGAGTCTCGCCTACCGCGAAGAACATTCGAGATATGCAACGTAACAAAACAGAACGCAAATTGTAATCGGATGATTCATGGATGCGGAAACGAGGTCTAAGACATTTATCTTACTCCTTAGTACAATGCCTGTACCGAGAATAACGATAGATATCATCGAAAGTGGGAAAAACACTGAGAATTCTTGCAATAGAACGCTTTAAGGGCATAGCAGGAATGGCAATTGCGCACAAATCTAAACGCTCCGACCATATGCTCGTCGATAGTCGGTGTGTAGCATCATGTAGGGAAAAGCCATCTACGTGCGCCGAAATGGATCATCACACAAGCAATGGGCACAGGCAGATTTTAATTTTCTGAACATGCTGATGAGCATGCAAAAACTTTTTGTTTCCCCGGGACTACTATTTTTATCTTTATTAAAGGGCATGAAATGTACTTCTGTGGACACTCCGAAGGATAAGTTCCATAACTTTTGACCCCACACCGAGGGTGAAACATGGATTGTGACTTGTTAACAAAGGACTAACTCTTCTTGCTGTTGTGGATGTGAGGCTACATTTCAATGCAAAAGGCCAAAGTGTTGAAACAAGGCGTCTTACGTCCTTAAATCATATATTTTCTAAAGCAGCGTAATTAGCACCCCTGAGACGCACCCTGTTTAAGCACACTTAATGAACCTGAATCGCTGCGTGAGGCAAAAACATGGGGGCAGCCCATTACGCATGCATGGGGGTGAACTGGCACTATTCTAATCATAATTATTGCCTGGCAACCTGCAATGCAGATGTGTTAACTCACAGCTGAGCGAAATTCTCGCCTGCCTGAATATACTTGGATTTCAGCAACTCAATGGAGTGAGGTTATCATGCACGAAGGGTGATGCCTTCTATGATTATTGATGACACTTGCACGCGCCATCTCGCGGCAACTGCTTTTGCTATTAGAGCCCCCTCCACTCTCCCCCCACCACCACCACTACGCTCGCGCTCGACGCATATCCATGATAACATGTTAATATAGCGAAGTCATTAAAGTTACACAGCTGTATCTTTATTACTGTACTACCGGTATAGCAAAGCCTAGCTATCATAAATTTTAGATCTGTATTAGTAGTGCCATAGATATATGCTCTGAGCGCGAACGCGGTCATTCGTTTGCCAGTGAGTTTAGCATCAGAACACCTGCCGTCAGGTGAGCGCTGTTGCTCTGCGGCACTTGTTATTTACGCTGACATAATCGTAAGAAAAGTTTATCGGTTCACATGGTTGTTACACATGTTCACACATATGCTTAGAGATGGATGACTTTGTCAATATGTTTTATTTGAATTAATTAACTCACAAATACACTTGCCTGTCATTGCTCTTGACATTATCCCTCTACTAGACCTAATGCAGCTGTGGGTTGAAGGACTAGTTAGTAACTATGATTACCTCATGGCACTAAATCGCCTGGCTGGTCGACGAGCGGGAGATCCTAACCACCATCCGATCCTTCCTTGGGTGTCCGACTTTACTTCACCAGACTCTGGGTGGAGAGATCTTACACGTAGCAAGTTCAGGCTTAACAAAGGTAAGATTTTAAGTAATACTTAAAGGAATACTTTACTCTAGAATTTGAGAGTATATTATGATAGTAGATTTATAAATAATAGAACATACCTATAAATATCTATAATTACGCATTCACATTTGTCATAAAACAACACTGAATTTCGAAATCTTCATTTTTGGGGCGCTGCATGACATGACAGCCGCGACCGTGCTGCCACCCTGAAAAAGTTGTGCATTTGCCAATTTATTTTGCACGTTACAGACCGAGGGTTAATCACAAAAGAGCAATTATATTTATACCTAAATGCTATTTAACCTAACGATATATTCATTTTAGGACAAATTTATCCTTATTAAAACTGAAACTATATGTTTTTTATAAGATATTGCAATCCTTCTGCTTTTAAATTAATGAATAAGAAACACCTGTCTGTAGCCCTTGGTTGAAAAGTCAGTTTGCTCAACTTTTCAGATAGTGCGCTTTGAGTGGCGCCACCATCGTTGTAATCAAACTGCAGTCGTTAGTTTTAAAACATTATTAAAAAAAAATATTTCTCATGGTGATTGAAGAGGGGGGTAAGGGGGGGTACTGTTCACAGTTCACAGTGAAAATAAACTGCTTTTCACATTTCACAGTGAAAATAATGCTCTTTTCACAGATCACCGGGATAATCCAGTTTACAGCTAAAATTTCAGACTCATAAGATAAGGTCATAGTTAAGTATACAAGTGTATTTCTTGACTAACAACACTTCTGAAAATCAAAAATATGCTTGCACAGTAGTCATGCTTATACATGTGTGCGTGCGTGCGTGCGTGCATGCGTGCGTGCGTGCATGCGTGTGTGTATATATACAGGCCCGTAGCCAGCTTTATATTAGGGGGGGTTCGTTTTCCAATGTTGGCAATTTGCTCGGCAGGGGCGTGTGCAGGATTTGTACCAGGGGGGGGGGGTCTAACCGTAACCCAAAGTTGCGAGCACGCGAAGGGGGGGCCCAGAATTTTTTTTTAAATTACACCCCCTCAGATGCGTTTTCTGCGCGAGCAAGGGGGGGTCCGGACTCCCTGGACCCCCCCTGTACACGCCTCTGCTCGGGCGCGAAGCGACCAGGCGAGGGAGCCAAGCGACCGAGCGGGGTGAGGGTGTGGGAGGGGGGTGTTCACCTATATGAAACTATTAAACTATATATATATATAGTTTCAAGCTCTTGATAGTTTCCATATGTTCTTCTGCAGCTAGGGGGGTCCGGGGGCATGCCCCACCGGGAATTTTTTTTAAATTAGGCTATATTTGGTGCATTCTGGTGAATTTTGAGGCCTGTGACCGGTTTCTGGAAACCGGTGCAAACCGGCCTAAACCCGCGCCTGACATGCATAGATTCACGAGGAAAGAGACCTCTTATTCACAGTTCACAGACTAAATAAAAGCTAAATCACGCTTCACGCAAGGTGGTCCATTCACAGTTCACAGACAAAATAAATTGCAATTCACAGTTCACGAGGTATAAAAACGGCCGATCACGTTTCATGAAAATACCCTTACCCACCCTCATTGAACCATGAAATTTTTAATGTAGCACAATTTTAACCTAAATCAACTGAAAGTAACCCTAGAACCTAGAGTCAAGTATTCCTTTAACTGATTCTTTCAAGCATTCTCTCTACTGTCTATCCTGAATAGTGATAGATATATGATGTACTTGTAATCTGCCAACATTTTGAAATAATTGCTTTTACAGATTACAAAGTGTAATTGAGGGATTGGTTTGAATTAGTTTATTCATTCTTTGGGTTATGTTAACACATTTTGGCATAGTTTAATGCTTATCCCAGAAGTTAATCAATATATAAGCCATTTGTATAAAGATATAAAGCAGTGTTCAAATTGCCACGCAGGTGACAGGCAGCTAGATCTTACATACGAAGGTTTGCAGGCCACTCAGCTTCTCCAGCGTCACACAGGGGTAGCCACCGAGGCAGAGTGTTCTACCATGCCACACCACGTTACAGACTTCCTCTCCGACATAACATACTATGTTTATAAGGCACGTCAGACATCCAAGGACATCCTGTGCAAGTATGTACGACGGCAAGCACCACAATCATACTTTGATTGATCCACGCGTTTTTCCCTTGATTTTTTTATGACCAGAGTCCCATTGTCAAACACAAAGTTAGTGTTAAGTATTTGCTCCACTTTGTGCACGGGTATTGCTCTAATGAAGAGTAAGCGTTTATTGATGAATGAATCGAATCAATCACACTTTTTATTTATAGATGATCGAAATGTATCTCTATGCTCAAGCCAAACAATTTCATGAAATTTCCAGCACCTAATTATGTTACTACACAAATTTTGAGTTTTTATGTAAAAATTGTATTTTGGATATGTCTCAATTGCCACAAAGAGTGAGAAAGCAAAACTTTCGCCACAAGGTAAGCACAATATGAAACAAAAAAGAGCATCCGGAATTTTCTTTAAAGCTTCATATTTACCGAACAAAATGGAGAAAAAAACGGCCTAAAATGTAAGTTGCACGTTTGAATTGAAAATTTTTGCAAATAAGGAAGCATAACACGTAAAATATGGCACTTAATAACAATCCCTGACGCCTTTTTTACAGCAATATATGTTACCATTAATACGAGTGTAAGATTAAATTATTCTGAGTAGTAATCACAGAGAAATATCATTTTATACAGCTACTATGGCAGAAATCGAAACGGAGAAATCAGCGTTTTTCTATTTTTCACAATGATCGACCGCTTGTGTTCAAAATGTAAATGAATATCCAAATATCCATGACTAACTGATAGCACTACATTGGCAAAATGTTCTATGCACCTTGAGAAATTGTGAGCAATTACGAGGTTACCATCGCTCTTTCATGCAAAACGCGCATACGATGCGTACTGCATGCCATTAATAAGCTATGTGTTAACAAATGCGCCTAAATGTAAGGTGTGTAACGAGGGGAAAAGGGCTATTTTCGGTAGCGCAACAATTTCTACTATCACTCACTGGCGGATGACAGCTGTAGAAGGGATGATGCTGAATCATACTAGCTTGGTGAATACCGTGAAAATGCTGGTTGTATCATGTTTCTGACGTCATGCACCACCGTCAGCCGCGGATCACTACACATGTAGGTGGGCAATCAAAACGCTCTGAAAGTTCACATGTATTGTTATATGGAGAAATGAGTATGTACAGAGGTGGCACATAGTGTTAGCTATCGAATAAGAATGAAAATGAAAAATAGGTAAAATATTGCGTAAAAGCTGGAGAGTATCCTTAACATTAGTTTTAACATTAACCTTTTCTCATAGACCATTGATAGTAACATTGTAAAATTACGAGTTTCTTATACACAATGTATAGACGTCTATGAGAAAAAGTTAATATTGAGACTAATGTTAAGCCTAATTTTGTTTCTGACCACAGGCCCCAGATTTGGTTAGTTATATCCAAGCGACGAAATATAGTTATCAGAATCTGATTGGTTCTTAAAGTACGTAATTCTTTGTCACGTGTACTAAAATCTTATTAGTTTTTAGCTCATCTGACATAATCAGATGCAGCTTGCAGAATCGCATGAGCGTCCGTCTGTGCGTGCGTGCGTCCTCAACAGTTATAGCACAAATCTTAACCGCTCGTGTACGGTCTTGATAGTCGGGACGTCGGGGGGGGGGGTCGTGAAAAGGACGTGGCATGTCGAATGGTCAAGATGTGTCAATGGAGGAGGAATATTTCCCCCTTAACTTAAGGTATAGGAGGAAATACGGAATTGCGGCACAAATCTCAAAGGCTCGACCTACGCTCTTAATATTCAATGTATAGTGTGATGGGGAGAAAGCCCACCACCAGTGCGAAAATCGAGGTCACAGGGCAAAGGGCAGTGGGGGAAAGGTCAAATATCAGACATTTTCTGAGGACATGGTCTAACGGACCGAGTGAAAAACTTTTTTGTTTCAGCGCTGACCTACAATTTTTATGGCTTTATTGAAAGGACCATGAAATGTACTTTCCACTGACGTGCGAAGAGTAAGTGTCTGATAACCTTTTGACCCTCAAGAGGAAGGTTAAACATGGATTTGTTGACTGTTAATAGAGGACTGAACTGTGTTTGATGGTACTTGTGTGATCGTGGAAGACGTCAAATTCACAGTGAAATTCTGCATGTAAAACTTACTTGAACAACGTTTACGTGCCTTAAATCATATATGAACTTCATTCTCTATATGAGATTCTGTACATAGGGAATACAATGTCAATAGCACTTACGCAAACGTCTGTTTTTGATTCAGGCCAACTATAAAAACCTTGCAGGTTGGTGGCTAATAGTATCACAGCATGGGCTAAACGAACGTAGCAACTAGTTCTGATTATCTATTCCCTGCACCTAGTCAGTATGCACGCCATCTATCAGAACAGAGTGAGAAGAATGTCCCGGCAGGATAGGTAAAATGTATTGCGCTCAAAAGTGCAGAAATAATTACTTTCTTAACTTCAGTTTAACCAATCTTGAGATAAGTAATTGCAGAAATGAATCGTCAAACCTACCAGTGAAAATCCATCGGCACATCCTCCACACAAACAAATCGATTCGTCGCCCTGCCCAGTTATTCATGCATTGTAAAGTTCTTCATTTCACTTCAAAGTCACACTTGCGTATTTCTTACCTAGGAATAACTACTTTATAGCACGTTATGTACTAAGAAAACGGCATGTATTAAGAACCAGACACCAGATGAGCCATGTCGCACAGCGGCACTTGTTAAAGTCAAGTGACTGTATCACTGGTGTAAACAATGGAGAAACTCTCTTCTGACCCTAAACGCTTGGTTAATATTTACTCGGTTGACACTGAGAGAAATCCTATTCCATTTATGGATAGGTCTGAGCCTGGTCGCTATGGTTTAATACAGGCATTGTTTCTCTTTTCAAATTCTTTGCTCATAGGCACGTCAGATCAAAGTGGGTGCCTCATGAGTATCCATCGAGCATGCAGCGCATCTGGGAGTGGACGCCCGACGAATGCATTCCAGAGTTCTACACGGACCCTGCGATCTTCCACTCAGTTCATGATGACCTCCCTGACCTCGAGGTGCCGCTATGGTCTGAGAGCTGTGACGTGTTCGTGCACTGGCATCGTGCGATGCTAGAGAGCGCCGAAGTGTCTCAATCCCTGCATCACTGGATTGATCTCACCTTTGGCTACAAGGTAAGTGTGAATTTAGCTTGGCTGAAATTTGAGTGCGTCTCCTTCATCGTCTTCTGTGGGCATAATTCTATCAAGAGTGTAGTATGAACTCCTTCCAGTATTTCATCTCGTAAGGTAAAATGTATTACACCTTCGGTAGACCGCTTGAGAAAGATAACTCTACCTCCCCACTACCCTTGGATATTGTTGCAAGGGTCACCAAGCTCAACTGGTTTTTATGTGTACATGCATGTCTGTACGCTAACTTTGTGGCACTTCTTTACCAAGCATTGTTTTTAGAATACTCTATCGCAACACTGATAGGCTTGACCTGTCAATAACACCAGGTAGATATGCCAATTATAGTGTCATGCTGCACTAAAGTCTTATTGTGCGAATGACGTAAATGCCCGGAAAGGCTGCATGAGCCAAGCGGGCGGAAACCTTGCAGGAAAAACCTTTGCTCTGTCATGACGGTGATGTACTTGTTGCGAGATTTTGCATCATTACGCAGCTGTCACATTTTCGTCGCAGTTGGCAGGCAAGCATGCGGTGAAGGCGAAGAATGTGTGCAGACACCTAGCCGAGCAGCGGCACACGATGAGCAATCATGGCATCGTGCAGCTGTTCACCGAGCCACACCCCAGGAGGAGCAGCAGAACGACTGCTGCACATTTGGTAAAGCCCCTGCTATCATGTACTAGTGATTCTGAATTTCAGTTCTGCAGGGATGCAAATTTTCTGCAGATTCATGTTTTTTTGGCTGCCTTACACTACAGATACATGTTATGAGAGAGATTGGAGATGCTTTGGGGAAATTATTGGACTGATGAAAATTAATTAAGTCTAAAACATGTAGTGGAAAATTAAATATATATGTGTGCGTGTGTGCGTGCGTGTGAAAGCGTCATTGCAGAAAATCATTAATTATGTGTGTCAATTATAGCACTGGTCTTGCCATAAATTGGTCCAATAACGTTTCTGATTAGGTTTTACTTGAAAACAATCTCCAGGAGTGTGCTGTCGCAGCTGCTACTGTTGTCGATTCAATGAACAACGAAGGTAAATCTCCGAATATGTCAGATGAACAGAATCAGAATGGTTGTATAATGTTGCCGCCTGACTATGAGCCGCTCCGAGCACTGGATGAGGTGGAGAGGCTGCACAAGTTTACAAGTGCCTTGGCCGGAAAAGAGATGAGAAAGCCCGATGATACAGAGGTCAGTACAGCATAGAATATTTTTACAAACACACACATTGTTGACACAAGGAAAAAGCTAATGGACATTGGCGTGAAAAAGAGCACAAGCTCGTGTTAGCCAAGTGTCACGCAGCAGAGTAACAGAGATATAGCATATATCTATATCAGTGTTTGCCCTGCATTGACACGAGCGAGGTGGCCGCCTCGCTCAAAAATCTCACCCGCCACGCAGAAATTTATCCAAAAACACCACCTCGCTGACGAAAATCACTGTTCTTCCATCAATAATATACACTTTATTGACAGCATTCGAAATTAGTGCCGACCCGGAGGCCCGAGGCCACCAAGTTTTTGCTTTGGCCACCATCTCTACAAAACTGCCGGTCCTTCTGATCGGCACTTTTCCCCCTCATATTATGCTGAAATACTACGGTTATCGCAACGGCAGTTTAGACAGACTTGTAAACGGGAGCGCATTTTAATACGCTCCGTTCCTGAACGTAGACGGGATATCCAAAACATAGCCGAGGGCATGAACTTCCTCAACGCATGATTCGCCACACAAACAAAACCTCGTGATAGTCTAAGAAATCGATTGCGGCCTGTAGCGTAGCCCAGTGTTTTTATGACCGCATAACAATAAGTTCATATGTCGCTGGGGTTATCGTGGGGAGTGAGGGCACGACCAGTGACACCTGACACGCACGTAATCAAAGCTGTTAACTGATTTTCGGCACATTTCTTTACGTAGAAAGTCGACTATTTTTATTCAGTTAGATATCTAGAAGCAATATATACTTCAAGATTCTAGGCACTTATAACTTTGCGGATATGCGGCAGCAATGATCTATGCATGGGGGTACCGAGGACTGGGGAAGAGAAAAAACGGAAGTAAAACCTTTCCCAGAAGCTTGTTTGTTTCTTTTGACAACTTGAAAAAGTGATTCAAGAGTCTCATATAATGTGTTCAGAATAGCTTAGAATGCACCAAATTGCACCATTTAAAAAAAAAAATTCTGAGGGAACATGCCCCCGCAACGCCCTAGCATGGCGATCACCTTCGGTGCTCGCATTGCTAGCTTCTCGGATTGCACAGCCACCAAAACAAATTTTACTGCCTCGCTGACCTTTTTGGCCAGGGGAAACACTGTATATTAGTCAGGGGGCAGATATCCAAAATAAGGATGAGCCTAAACTTTTTGGGTAGAGGCTAGGCCAAACGGGTAAATATCATTTCTATGATACCTGCGCGATTCCACTGGGTATGTTTCCAGCGCTGACTTTTGCGTATTGTGGCGGCCATCTTGAAATCCAAAATGACCGCCAGCGAAAATGGATTTTCTGAATATCTGGACTCCCAGACGTCGTAGAGACATAATGTGGTGGCTATACCCACATTTTCGATAGTGGAGAACCCAATTATCACACTTAGAGAAACATAGGATGGCGGCCATATTGGATTTCAATATCGCCGCCAGTGAAATTTGTTTATTTTGAATAACTAGACTCCAAGACGTCGTAGACATAATTTTGCTGTCTATACCCACATTTCAGATAGTGGAGAACCCAGTTATGACACTTAGAAAAGCATAGGATGGCGGCCATCTTGGATTTCAAGATGGCCGCCAATGAAATTGGTTTATTTTTGTTTGAATAACTAAAATTCTAAATATCGTAGAGGCATAATTTTGGTGTCTTTACCCACATTTTCATGACGCCATAGGTCTCCTGAGTGTGTACCTTGTAGGCAACAGGACTTTAGCCGAACATTTACGGTAATCCCAGATAACATGCTGACGGTGGGCAACGTTGGGCCAACGGCTGTCTTCAGCTCATGCTAACGTTGGGCCAACGTTGGGCCCAACGTTGGCCCAACGTCATATTGCCAACGTTGGCCCAACGTCAGACAGCCAACGTTGATCCAACGTCTTTTTGCTCAGCGTGCCATAGTTGGGCCCAACGGTGGGCCGACGTTGGCCCAACGTTGGCCCAACGGCAGTCAGCCAACGTTGGCCCAACGTCATATTGCCAACGTTGGCCCAACGTCAGACAGCCAACGTTGATCCAACGTCTTATTGCTCAGCGTGCCAACGTTGGGCCCAACGTTGGCAGCCAACATTGGCCCAACGGTGGCACGACATTGGCCCAACGTTGGTCCAACGTCAGACAGCCAACGTTGGCCCAACGGCTTTTTGCTCAGCGTGCCAACGTTGGCCCAACGCCATATTGACAACGTTGGCCCAACGTCAGATTGCCAACGTTGGTCCAACGGCTTTTCGCTGAGCATGCCTGATCCCTCTGGTTCTCTCTCTCTCTGTCACACACACACACAAACACGCACACCTCTCTCTCTCTCTCTCTCTCTCTCTCTCACACACACACACACACACACACACACACACATGCACACTCTCTCTCTCTCTCTCTCTCTCTCTCTCTCTCTGTCACACACACAACACAAAACACGCACACCTCTCTCTCTCTCTCTCTCACACACACACACACGCGCACACCTCTCTCTCTCTCTCTCTCTCTCTCTCTCTCTCTCTCTCTCTCTCTCTCTCTCTCTCTCTGACACATACACACTCCCTCTCTGGTTCTCTCTCTCTCTCTCTCTCTCTCTCTCTCCGAAAAGCGGACAAATCACGACTAATAAATATTCTGTCGAAAGATTTTCCTATCAGTGACATCGTTAAAACATGTATTATTATTGATGTATGCAGTGGTACAATCCATTGGAAAACCGACAACAGCAGTTACGTTTGGTGACTATAGCAGATGTGTTTGTGAACTGTGTGAAGAAGTCACACGGTAGAAATTCAGACAGGATAGATATTATATTTGATCGATACGAGGAGAATTCTATTAAGAAGGTACAACGAGAAAGACGACGATCAGGGACAAAACAAATTAGGCGGTTGATACAGGTAAAGACACAAAACTCCCTCAGAACTGGAAGACATTTATCACTCTCGCTGAAAACAAAATCTTGCTCGTTTCTTGTCAGAGGAATTGATCATCTCTAGTGACTTGGCGGTAAAGAGATAATTGTGTGTGGAGGGTTTACGGAAACGATATGTACCTCGGAAACGTGATGTGTCAACACTTTGAACAAACACGAGGAGCTGACACGCGAATTGTTCTTCATGCGTGCGATGCTGCAGACACGGATATAAGCGAACGATTGTAGTTTGCAGGGATTCCGATGTGTTAATGATGCTAACAGTGTTTCGCGCAAGTTGTCGCAGGAGGTTTGGATGAAGGCAGGAACTTCAAAATCTCCTTGGATGATAAGAGTCCATGACATTGCAATAAACAACAACACTCGAAAGGGATTGTTAGCTTTTCATGCGCTAACGGGAAGTGACACAACGAGCCAGTTTGCAGGAATTTCTAAAAACGCTGCATGGAAAGTATTCATTGAAGATCCAGATCGCATTCATAGGTTGGAACAGAATCTACCACTATCACCTAGATTAATTGCTATCATCAGTGGAAGCATTTATATGTAAACTGTATGATCCAACGACAACATTGGTAGTTATACAGTTATTACTTGTCGAAGTTCTTCCAATGCAAGACGAATATTGACTATTTGCCACCAATGAAAGACGCACTGATACTACATTGTCATCCAGAGAGACCGGATACAAGATGCCTTGCGCAAAGGAGGCGTTGTCCCGACCGCCGAAAGCGGTTAAGCGCCGCACTTCCGCGGGACTGGCGCACGCGACCGCGGATGTATAGCTATAAGTCCCGCTATACGCATTCGCGCGCGAAGGAAGCGTGGCGCACGAATGCGTATAGCGGGCAGCCTAACATCGCGCAGTTTTCGGGACACGTACATCGCGCTCGGCTACATCGGGCTTTGGAGGGGGGGCTTTCGATTATGGATTGACACGCGTTTGTACTCCTCGCCGTCGTACCGTCACCTGCCGTATTTTCGTACCTTATCTGGCGTTCTCCCACTATCTTTCTCTCTTTCTCGCACTCCCCACAGTCTGTCTCTCTCTCGCTCTCGCTCGCTCTGCCGCCACGGGTTAATAAGGTATCTATATACATGCATCAATGCTGCCGCAGCCAGCCACACAGCACTGCACTGTACTTGCAGCGTTTCAATAAAATGTAATGCTAAACAAGTGCCGCAGAGCGACAGCGCTCATCTAACGTCTACTGCGGTGACTCTGTGGTGGAGTGGTGGGGATTCTAGTAACCCTGTTAGTCCCAAATGTGTTCACATACACGCCGAAACAGTGGAATGCACAGGATGGTATCAGGAACCTTCTCAAAAGAATATTGTTGGGATCGTTATGAAAGTTGCCACGAGATGGCGCGTACGTTTAAGTGTCTTCAGATTAAAGATGGAAGCTCAATCATACGTAGTAGCAACAAACTATCTGCAAGACAGAATAGCGTAAGCACTCATCATTTACCTACGCAAGCCTACAGCTGCGCAATAGAGAGCTGCCACCTGTAACCAATTAAGGCAAAAACTCTACAGTACCACCAACACATGCACTGGCAGTAGCCACTGGGCAGTGGCATGCGTTACATGTAACATACTGACAGTACAGAATGCCATATAAATTATACGATTTAAGGAGCATAACCTTCTTAACCAAATTTAGCTTTTGAAATTTCACTGTGACATTGTAGCCTCATACATCCAGGCATGTATAGATTCTACTAGCAAACCGGCAGTCAAATTCTTTCTAACAGACAGTCAACAACCATGTTCAACCCTCTTGAGGGTCAAAAGTTATCTGACACTTACTCTTCGCATGTCAGCAGAAAGTAGATTTCATGGTCCTTTGAATAATGCCATACAAAATGCTAGGGTCACCTGAAACAAAAAAGTTTTTCAATCGCTCCGTCAGACCATGTCCTCAGAAATGTCTAAAATCTGCCCTTTGCCATTGACCTTTGACCTGTGACCTCCAATTTCGGCACAGTGATGGCTTTTCTTACCATGTGCTATACACCGACTATCACGACCTAGGTCGAGCCGTTTTAGATTTTGTGCCGCAATTCTGCATTTCCTCCCTATACCTTAATTAAGGAGTGAATGTTCCCCTCTTTACACCTCTTGACCTTTGACCTTTGACCCCAGCTTCGACAGCGCCAACTCGTTTGACGATCCCCCCAACGACCCGAATATCGTGACCGTACGTCGAGCGGTTAAGATTTGTTGCCAACTGTTGAAGACGGACGGAACGGACGGACGCTCGCACGGACGGCATACGGACGCTCGCCACGGACGGCGGACGCTCGCACGGACGTACGACGGCGACGGAGGACGATCAAGCGATTCTACAAGCTGCCATCTGACTATGTCAGATAAGCTAATAAATACAAAATCTATTTACTACGAAAGTCCGGCGGCGGCGGGCAAAAACTCCCGAGCCAGCTCCACGTGAGCGCGGGGAGGAGGGAGGCTGGAATGTGCCGCTCCGCCGTCTTCGTAAAAAACATGTGCATATATATATTTGTGTGTCAGTGTTGCGGCGGGTGTTGTAGGATTAGCTACGTGTTAAAACTGCCACGGCCACGCCAGACACGTGCTCGCACGACGTGCCGTCGCACGGGCAGCGCGGGCGGTCAAGAGGACAATATCAAATTCCATATTGCATATCGCTTGGGATCTTACTATCGAACTCGAAGCAATTCCTCTAGACTACAACCTCAGCATATTGCAGCGACTGTAAAAAGCGACGCTGTAGCAATAGCGGCACATATACTAAGAGTAGTAGATTTGCTCTAAGAAACAATATAGAACAACACTTACAAATGTTTGGCGTCATAACGTTGCTTTGTTTGTCAACATGCATAAAGACCTCAGCATTTCATGTAGTCAAGGAGTGACGTCAAACGACACACATGAGTAAAGGACAGACAACAGACTGTAATGAACACCATGTTGATACGATCACGTGTCGCTTATTGCATATTGCAGGCAGTGTAAAACTGAAGGGTTTGCCACTATAGCCGCAGTATACTAATGACTATTATTGCTTGTAACAAACAATACAAGGCTTACACATGTGTGCGGTATATGAACGTTTTTTCTTTGTGAGCATGTAGAAAGACGTGAACATTGAATGTAGTACAGAGTTACGTGAAACTATTTTAACGACTACTATTAGGAGACTATTACGAGACTATTCGAACGTTCGCTCACCTATGCAAAGAAATCTTTCGTCCTTTGGACTCCTCACATCGAAGAACCTTACACTTGCACGCAGTACAACGGCCTGCCATCATATATCGATGGATGAAAGATCGATGGGTATGTATGAATTCGAAAGAAGATATGCTCTATGCTGTATGCTCTACGGTCTATGCAGAGGGCTATGGTATTATTATGCGCTCTGCTCTGCTATATATACATGGTTGAAGTATGACGTAATGATCCGAAACATCACAGCATGGGGGGTAATAACAGACATGCGGCTGCTGCTTTTCCACATAACGTCTAGTGCGAATTCTCAGTCTAAACAACCATCAATCAGTGAGGCCTGCGGTGTCCTAAGATGGCTACAAGAATTACACTCCGACGTCACGATTCCAGCTAGACTGGTACGGATGTTAACTCGGCCAAGTATCTTTCGCTACACTAAAGTTATAGTTAGTGCAGCGTGTCGAACTCTCCACCGCGGGGCAGTCTAAGCCTATTCGCCGTCCTTGTGTGAAAATTCTCTTTCCTCGAAGAGAGCCTCGTCGCGCCATCTATGGAACGCCATATGTACGAGAATAAGTTCAGGGCGTGTAATTCAATAAATTGGAAATCGCTTTTCTAGAGGAAAACCTAAAGCGCCGACCAAAAAACTTGCAATTACGAGCATTTGGATTTATTCTCGCCCTACGTGCAGAGTCGAAAGGCTTCTGCAATCGCCACAACTCCTCAATTGACCGATTATGCGGCTTTATGTACTACCCAGAGGGCCTTGCGTATATAGTTCTACATAGAGGGCAGCAAATTCGGTCAAAAGGCGCCGCGAGGCGGCGCTGTTCGCGCTTCGCGCGTATATCCGGGCTGCAGATCGTCGAGCCCACTATCAGAGCCTCATTTGGAACCAGTGTATAGATAGTACTCAGAGCATTCCTTCGGCATTTGACTGCGGTTGGTATATGCAGGATGGCATTCTGAAACCACGGCTCATGACACTGAATCCATTTCGTGCCAATACTATTGCAATAAAGACATGTGGCTGTAGTAAGGACGGACCTTGTTGCTGTACACGTAGCTGTACATGTACCAAAAACAATATGTGCTGCACCGGTGCGTGCAAATGCAACATGGCCTGCATGAACCCATACAACAATGTTCTTGGGGTGCGACTGTTTTAAAACTACATATTCTGACAATTCTGGTATGCTTATATATGTTTTTATGTTGGCTTAGACTGTTGTATAGTAATGGAGTAACATACCACCATGTTGAAATCCAAGATGGCCGCCATCCTATGCTTTTCTAAGTTTCATAATTCTGTTCTCCATTATCGAAAATGTGGGTTTAGACATCTAAATAATGTCTCTACGACGTCTTGGAGTCTAGTTATTCAAAATAAACAAATTTCACTGGCGGCAATATTGAAATCCAATATGGCCGCCATCCTATGTTTCTCTAAGTGTAATAATTGGGTTCTCCACTATCGAAAATGTGGGTATAGCCACCAACATTATGTCTCTACGACGTCTGGGAGTCCAGATATTTCAGAAAATCTATTTTCGCTGGCGGTCATTTTGGATTTCAAGATGGCCGCCACAATACGCAAAAGTCAGCCTGGAAACATACCCAGTGGAACTCCCCAAGTATCATAGAAATGATATTTACCCGTTTCCAGCCTCTACCCAAAAAGTTTAAGCTCATCCTTATTTTAGCTCTTTTTGAAATCTGCCCCCTGACTATATAACCTCTATAATAGCATGTAGAATGAACGATGTGCATTCGTTGCCGGTAGACTTCTTGTGAAGACCACTGCCCCCTGGTCGGTGCAGGAAGCATGAGAGACATACAGGTGCTTGGCTGCCTCATTGCGGAGCTGTTTCTTGGAGCTAGGATGAAGGCAGCTGGAACCAAGCCTACGTTAAAGAGCAGGTGTGAGCTCATCAGGAAACTATACAGACACGATCGCTTCATCATACCCAGGTATGTGGTCTCCATCATTCATACATCTATTACCTCACAGTGGGGCTGAACACTCTGTATACTTATCTGCTGCACTGAGGCATCACGCAGTATATGCTTAGAGAACAATAATTACGTACATACTTCTTGCTTTATAATTTCCTGCTTGCAGGTGTTTTCACAGAGCATTGGAAACCATACTGCAGTTGGATACTCCGCATGTTTCGTATGCTCACTGCGCTGATGATGTGGACGATATGTATGCTGCACTGTTCATGCACAAACCAATGACTGAGAGTGACCTACCTCCCATGCCCGGACAGTTGCTTCACCCCCTGCTCTCACCATTCTTATTCCCGTCGTATTTCACTGAATTGTACAGCATTGTGCAGGACTGCTGCGCATTCGACGCCTACACCAGCATGCTCTATTTCCCCGTGGCCCACGTGAAAGTCTCCTGTCGTCGCCTCGGCAGACTCCTCCCACTGCTGGATGCCGAAGGAATCGAGCTAGTTGTCCCGTACGTGGTGCGGCTGCTCGAGCAGAGGAGCACCGCTGCGTACTGTGCATGGTCGCTACTGAACGTGACCGGTGAGGCTCTTGGCCCTCGCGACACCGCCCGCTATGTGATGCGCCACCTGGTGGCACTGTATGACAGCGACTGCGCCACGAGCAAGCACGTCAAATTCTATCACCGCTCGTTCCTCCTGCAGCTGATTGTGCGGCTTGGGCTTCAGTGCTTTCTCGCCAACTTCAGCACCCTGCTCGTAGAGGCCGTCAGTGGCTATAAAGATTACCAGGCGCCAGAGCAGGCCGGCACACCTATCGGAACGATGCGTCGTTCCGTGCCTGCTCATCTCATGCAGTCGTCTGTGAGCATTGTCGAGGAGGAGAGTGATGCAAAGTATGAGGAGGAATATAAGAAGAGGGCCGACGTGGTGGGGGAGAGTCCCGGCGATGCCTCCGAGTTTGCCGATGACGCATCTTCTCGGCTCGACGCGCAAGAAGAGCAGCGCGCAGCAGCTGTGACGGCAGTGTCCTGCACGCACACATCAGCTATCCACCGCACGGCCGACACGTTCATCGACGACATGATCATCGTGTACAATGACGCTGATGACTGCGAGATGGCAAACGTCGAGTGCATCTCGATCCATGGCGTGCCAAACATTGCAGCGCAAGAGCGGTCAGCTGCCAACATCAATCGCACAGAGTCGATGTACAACATTGTGTGCGATAGTGACGAGGGACTCTGTGGCGGTGATAGCGGCGGTGGAGGACTCGACGAGCAACTGCCTGATGACATCATCTTCTCACTCGATCCCGATTGGCTGTCGCATGATAGTATCATGATCGAAAAGCAAGGTGCAGAGGAACAGGGAGGAGGAGGCGGGAAACGAGATGTGCTTCCGCTGATTGAGGTGCTCCAGGCCATGCCGCCGACCAAGGCGGTCAGTAGGTTCTTATTGCCAGGTGCGGTGGAATACAACGTATCGGATGCAGCCACAGAGAGCGTGCTCTGGTTGGCCCATAGACTTGGGCCAATGCTAACGGCTAAGTATCTAACACGTAACCTGCTGCACATGCTCACTCTCTGCTACATAGGAGAAGAACAGCTACAGTTTGCAGTCGGCAAAGGTAATTATGATCGTAATAGGGGCTATCTTTGTTCAAAGCCAATTTGTCTTTATTAAATGACATGTGTAGTTATTATGTGACATACTGTGTAGCTATATCTGCAGGGATTGGGTGATTAAATAATGGGGGGTTTGCTCTATTCATTGCTGCAGCTGATGGTCTTTCCGTGAGCAGCAGGCTGGTAGTTGGAGATGAGAATGCAAGAAAGATTCTGGAATGTCTGACAAGCATTGCTACCTTATATGGAGAACACATAATCCTGCTGCAATATCTACCATATATTCGTGATGTGGTATGTCCACTGGTGACATTTATTTAAAGTAGTGAGGTACGTCAGATATATGTACCTATGATCTACCATTTGTTGTTCACTTTATCAGCAAAATCTTCAATCTATTATTTGATAGGATTTTAAAAATTGTTAAAAAAAAACTATATAAATACTGACCTAATTGATTTAGGTGGAACCAATCGGGATTTTGATTCCCATGTATGGAAAGATTACCTAGCTGTGGATATTGTTTACAATTTCAGGTGAAAGCTGGTAGTAAGCATGTAAGCCCCAGTACTGAGGCAGCTCTCATTGCCAGCATGGTGATCTTCAAACATGCAATTCCATATCTGTCTGACATAAAAATCATGGACAACTTACAGGTGATGTGAATAATTTATCACCTGCATACCTGTACGTTGGTATCGATTATATAATGGGATATAATTGCAGTCGGGATACTAATCACCTGCGTCGTGATTCAGTAGGTTAGTGATGTGAGACTGATGTCACTTGATCCCACAGGAGTTGTTTACACGAGAGATCCTACTGCCTCTCATCAGGATTCTATCATCGATCAACCTGAGGTTTCCCAACAGCAGTCATGCCCGAGAGGTACTCTGCCTCAAGTTCCTAGATGTCGTTTACATCATCGCTATGCGCATCGGTTTTGAGATGACACGACGCTATCTCACTGCCCTCTTACAGCGCTTCTTCCTGTCATTCGACACCATTCACCGAGGCAAACTGCCAGGTCAGTTACTCTGATGCATTTATTCAGTTCATGTGTGTCATAGTGTCTTATGTTGAATTTATGTGAGATATAGTCAAAAACAAATGTATTTTGCAGAACTTTCATATTACATGCAATATCTACTCATGATTATGTGACATGAAGAATTTTTAAGATGTTTTGGTCAGCTATTATGATCCAAAATTAAAATCACTTTCTATGTTAGTTAGAGAAACACATCATTTAGCTTCATTGTCACGGCAGTAGGTTGCAGTTATTATAGCAGAAGCTAGCAGAAGACGACTATTGCTAAGCCTATGTTGCAGCATTTGTTTTTGTACAAATACACATCCTACGGGCTAAGCATACCAAACCGGGCTGTTATTGGTTTTTCAATCCATGTGACTTTAACCCTTATATCTCGAACATTTTACGACGATGATTATGTCCTGGTTAAATCAGCTGTTTAAGCAAGTACATGGTATTCTCTCGTGGTGTGAGAACGTATGGAGTTATGATGGATATATAATGTAGATTGTCTGATAGATAATGTTGAATCAGGGTGTGAGATTGAGACGACACATCCAGAGAGCTGTGATGTTGGCGGGGACGATGAACTTGATGAGGTCATCCTGCAGCAGATTACCGACGTTTTCTCACCACAGATGGCACATACGGCATACATTCCTTTCTGCAGGCTCGCTGGAGGGTAGGACTGACGTTGCATGTACTATTCAATACTGTATCGAATATACTATTCATTCAAGTACTATTCTGAAGGAATGCTATTTCACTCTTTTTTTGTTTTGTTCTATTCTGTTCTATTCTTTTCTATTGCCTTATCTTCTATTTTCATTCTATCTTCTATTCTTCTCTACTCCACTCTACACTTCACAACTAAATTCCACCATACTCTACTTTGTTCTCTTTATTTCTATTCTATTGTGAATGAATAATATTCTTAGAAAGATGTCATGAACTGGTTAACAGGCAAGTAATGTGAGCATGAGTAGGAATATTCGGTGAGGAGAAGTAAGATTGGCAGCCACATTATATCTGCTACATGTTGTGGTTTCTGCAGATTGCACATGGAGCAGAATCTGCCCAATGATGAACTTATCCGGCGTCTATGTGAGATGCACGATACAAACATGACCACAGCTGGAGAGGCATCTGAGTTTATGGGCAATACTCGGTCAACTCTACCCGACAGCATGCATGACTCATTCAGTTGTAAGTAAAATGTCCGTCAGCAGATAAGTTCACATTCAAGAGTTCTATCAGAAACACATTTTAGAATTTATCTTATTCATAAATACATTCCTACTGTTGCCAAAAGGAAATAGTGAGACTGTTTTTATACTCACAGTATATAATAAATATGTTAAACTGATTATTGCGAGATTTTTGCTCAGAAAAACTAAATATAGCTGAATATAGTCTCGCCTGACAGCGGAAATATCACTGATTACACCAACATTAAAAACACTAAGATTTTATGCAGTTATAGCATAGAAAATTGGATATGAACACACGTAACAGCAATGCATTTTATTGTGTAGCGAAAATGGCAGAATTGGTAAACTTGTAAATTGTCGGTGATTAATTGAAAACAAGTGCATTTGAGAGAGCCTGTACTATGTCTATGGCAGATAGATGGCGGCGCTACTAGCTAGTCCATACTACCGGCTAGTTTCAAGATTACAGCAAACGATTGTTTACCAAACTAGTAGTTCGAAAATTGCATGTTTTGGTGAATACGAAGGTTCTAAGACATTTTATTGTTACTCTAGAATCTAGACAATTGCTGTTACTCAAGCAATAACGGTAGGTATCATGAAAGTGGTGAAAACACTGGAAAACTGTCGTCATAATTACTTTAATATACCCCTAAGTCAGTAAGTACATACGTGTAAAAATGGCAATGTATTTTAACCTCATAACCTCATAAATGTTAGTCTTCAAAAGTCATGGAGACTATAACGAAGACGGAGAGAGAAGTGGATAAAATCGGTAGATCCACACTGCGGATCGCAGTGGAAAAGGCAAATTTTGTATTTACCAAGGATGAAGGCAGGGAATTCCAATACAGAATCACAGAAACAAAGAAGCTAAACTTAAAAGGATCCATAGAAATTTGCACGTGCCGAAAACAGTGATCACGCTCAGATGAGTGAGTGCAGCGAACAGGCTTCCAAGGGGATGCCTGTTTCCGAGAGAATGCCAATTTTCATCTCGCCATGATAAATTTTATAGAAAGTTATGAGTTTAGAATGAAGAAAGCATACACGAAGAGGAGGCCAATCAAGATGAGCCAAAACAACATCAACACTATCATAATAGTTTCTGGATACCCATCTCGCAGCTTTATGCTGAATGGTATCCAATTTAGAGCAGTTCTGAAGTGTATAGCAGCACCAGCCTGGCGAAGCATATTCTAATATGGGCAGAACCATAGTTTTAAAAGCCAGGGTCCGAGTTTTAGAGTCGGCAAAGCTAAGATTACGCCGTAACATACAGAAGGATCGGGACGCTTTCTTACAAATATAATCAACGTGGGCATTCCAGCGAAGATCGCTACTAATAATAACACCCAAATATTTGTAAGTAGGGGTAAAAGATAGATATTTATGATACAGCGAGTAATAAAAGTAATATAAGTAAAAGTCAAGGGTGATTTGGAGTAATGCGAATAATTTTACATTTTTCTGCATTGAATGCCATACCCCATGTTGTTGCCCACTTCTCAGTACGAACCCCTTATTGTAGATGGTGCGGTACAGAACAGCGTCGTCAGCAAAGAGGCGAATAGAAGTAGAAGGGTCAGTTTTGGCCAACAAATCATTTATAAAGGATAAGAACAGCAATGGACTAAGCACAGAACACTGGGGTATACACGATGTGACAGCAGCCACATCTGACAGTGACATGCTGCCGTTAACACAGACAATTTGAGATCTATCCTTCAAAAGGTCAGAGATCAAGTTTAACGTAGTAGTATCCAAACCCAAGTGACCAAGTTTGAAAATTAAAAGATCATGAGAAACCCTATCAAAAGCCTTACTAAAATCTAGAAATACTGCATCAACCTGCTGAGATTTGTCAATACTTAATGTCCAATCATGAAGAACATTGATTAACTGGGTAACGGTAGAAAAACCCATGCCGAAACCCATGTTGATGATGGGACAGAATATCATGCCTATCGAAATGGCTCATAACAGAGGAGTAGACTATATGCTCAAATGCCTTGGAGCAAAGAGAAGTAAAAGATATTGGGCGATAATTTGAAGCAAGGGAAGATCCACCACCTTTATAAACTGGGGGTATGAGGGCCCTTTTCCAATCAAAAGGAAGAAAACCTAGATCGTAGGATTGACAAAACAAACTGTGTAGAGAAGGCCCAAGCTCATGCGCAAAATGATGCAAAATAAAACCAGGCACCTTATTTGGACCAGCAGCCTTATGTGGGGATATATTCTTAAGTACGAGCATACGCCACTTAGGGAGATAACAATTTTGCTCATCAGGGGGAAATTATAGTTTAAACTTGGAATAGGTGTTACACAAGAAGTAGAGAAAACCGACTTGAATTGATTACTTAGCAAACAAGCTTTCAATGCAGGGGACTCACTCCGGAAATACCATCAACAAGGAGAAGAGATGGGATACCAGTTTCCAATTTTTTACACTTCATAAACCTCCAAAACGGTTTTGCATCTCCATCTGCAAGTTTATCACAAACAATACTATTTAGAAAACTTCGATGGAATTTACGATTTAATTGGGAAACAAAATTTCTTTGATTGCGATATCTAGACCAACTAACAGGCGTTTTAGAATGCCTGACCCTTTGAAACAAGCGATCCCTCTTCCTCATAGATTTCTTTAAGGAGGATGACAACCAAGGGATTGAAGCCTTATTACGAATAACCTTATGAGGGACATAGGAATTTACACCTGAGGTGATAGCCTGTTTAATTAGCAACCAATTAGATTCAAGGGATCTCTTTGACGGATCACTGGAAAAGTATGAGACATTAAACTCAGTAAAATGATTTGAAAGTGCCTCTTTATCAGCCTTATCAAAAAGAAAGAGTTCTTAAGTTAGCTGCTTTGACTGGAGAAAGATCTAGATTAAAGATGACACAATCATGGTCACTAATACCAGGGACCACAGATATAGATGAAACTAAATTGGAGAAATTAGTAAATACTAAATCAATAATGTTTCTACAAGATTCAGTACATCGGGTAGGCTGAGTAACAAGTTGAGCCAAGGAATGATTAGCACACAAATCGAGCAGTTGACTACATAAATGAGTATCTCGTTGGCCAGTCACTGAATAGGACTGCCCATCAATTCCAGGCAAATTAAAGTCACCACAATTAAGTGTAGGTGGATAAGACTCATTATGACGAGAGAAGAAAGCATTCACATAATTAGCTATTCCAATGAATTGATCAAGAGGGGGCCTGTACCCAATCATAGAATATAATAGCTTAGAATTCTTAATATTTAGCTTCACCGAAGTGAGTTCAGCTCCTTCATCAAAAGAGGTAACTAAAGAGCTAGAAGTGGACTTCTACCTAGGGGGCAAAACCCCATTTTTGGGGTAAACCAGAACCGGGATGCTATAAAAGGTTGTATGGTATCAACGTGTTCAGGGGACTTCCCTGAACAACTTCCAGGTGGACAACCTTAAAAATATGCTGCTGGAAAAAAATGGCGGCCATTTTTCAAAATGGCCACCGTGTGTAATTAATGATGATCAATTTTTAAGATCATGTTTGAATAGAACTTCCTCTCACCATGTGTGTGGTATCATATTAAAGGGAATTAAATTCTCTACAAGATGGTTCCACATTTAATTGGCTTGGTGATGATTTTAATGACAATTTTGGGCCAAAAATGTGATTTTTTACCATTTTTTCCCAAAATATAAATTGCACCAAAATACAATTTTCTCCATATTTCAAAAGTCCTTTTGAGTAATGAATTGAAACTTTTCAGGAAATTGCCCATATTTATGATTAATATTGTCGCAAAAGCTCAAGTTTATTGCTTTTCTAACCATAAAGTTATATTGCTCCAAAGTTAACATTTTGATATTAACTAAAAACAGCATTTTGTACATTATCAAGTATAGTGGGGTATCGCGTGTCATGAAAATAGCTCCCGTAGGATTTTTTTGCTAAAATTGACCTTTTTTTACTTTATCGAGTTGATTTAGGGTCAAACTATCAGAAAATAGTGGGGATCAAATTTTCCGACCCCTCGACCCTCCGGTGGAGGGGCTTTTCTTTCCCATGACCCCCTGAATGACCCCGGGCCTGTTTCTGCTAATAATGAACCTATTATCACGATCCTGGCGTCATTTCAGGGGATTGGGATGATGCTGAGTCTATTTATCACAATTTCAAAGCGACCGGAAGTGGCCATTATCGACTTCCGGTTACGATCTTCGTTAAATTCAATGTCATTATCATGGCAGTGATAAACTTGGTCATATAGTACCTCTTTCTATAGGTTTTCAGGCATGGGAAGACAACTGGTGCAGTCATTTTTGCGATCAGATAGTCATGACAAGAGATAAGGGCACTTTAAGTGGCTATCGCAGACTACCGGTTAGGATCGACTAGTCAGATCTGGTTGTCTTGTCTGGCAACAAGAAGCAATTTTTCCTTGTCCGAATTTTGATTTTACTTGTCCAACATTTTTTTACAGTCTATGAGCCGTTAAGGTATATTTTGGGTTCAGTACATATCATATTACAGTATATACATGGAAAATCGTAAGGAAACTCAGAGTGTGCGAAGCGAACCTCGTCAATACCCTCGCAGACGTCTACATTGGGAGCAATTACTAGAGGATTCTTGAGGAGTATTGCCCACTGGGTACCGCCTCGCTGAGGAAAATCACTGTTCTTCCATCTATAAACTACACTTTATTGAACTAATATCGAAATAAAGCTCCAAACATGCAACACAACGCCGCGTACTCGCGATACGTACAGTCAACACGCACACACACAATACACGCTAGTGTTATGATATTGATTTATTTCACTGCCCACTACAATGCACTGGACCAATGACGTATGCTAACTGTTCCACGAACACAAACAGAAACTAGATTTGACTAGAAAGATTTGCAGGCTTGCTGGATGATTTTCACTTTTAGAACACATTTGGATTCTGCCAACACGACTGCAACATTATGTCTAGTATAT